AACCGAAGAGATCCGTCGTGCTTTTTCACAAATAGCACCGGTGCACCCCAAGGAGAAGTACTATTCCGGATATATCATTTTCCTGCCAACTTCTCAAGTTGCGTTCTTAATTCTTTCATCTCCGCCGGAGCCATCCGGTATGGAGGGATGGAAATAGGTGCCGTTCCCGGGACCAAGTTAATACAGAATTCAATCTCCCGATCTGGCGGTAAACCAGGTAGCTCATCAGGAAATACCTCTGTAAACTCATCCACTACAGGGATTTCCGCACTATCTCTGATCGTTTCAGATTCACCTTCTAAGGCAAGAAGGGAGGAGAAACAGGCTAAATTCTTCCGTCCCCCAACGCTGTACTTCAACAGTCGTTCCCCAAGGACTGGGTTCATCTCTGCCTGATAAGAAATTACTGTTCCGAAATCCGTCATCAAGGTCACTTTCCTACGGTAGCAATCAACAATTGCACCGTGCCTTGACAGCCAATCCATTCCGAGTATCACATCAAACAGGGTCATCGGAAGGATAACCAAATCAGCGCTCAATCGCTCACTACCAATCGTGATTTCACATGATTTACACACACTCATTACGTCCACACATCCCAGTGGGGAGTTCAAAGTCATCGGGACTTCTAAATTCTCACTCTTTAGTTTCAAAGTCCGAACAAAAGAGCTTGATATGAACGAGTGTGTGGCACCTGTATCAAACAACACGTGAGCAAAAGAATGAGAGATTAGGATCATACCCTCAACCATCGCGTTGCTGGTCTGACCTCCAGAGCTACCTCCTGCCAGGGCATAAGCTTGTCCCTGTACTTTTCCCTTTCCTCTGTCACCAACATTAGGCCGTTGAGCCGGAGGCCTATACTGTTGTGGTGGAGGCAGTTGTGCCGGTCTCAGCGCTTGAGGCTGGAACTGTGCATACTGAGGCGGCTGATAAGTCGGCGCAGGAGGGTATGCCATCTGTTGTGGCTGGTATGGTGGCATGTACTGTGGTGGCCCTTCTTGGCTGTAGGAAGTGTCTCTTTGGACTTGTTGAGCCGGCGGCCGATTAGGACAATTCCTCCTAATATGGCCCACCTGCCCACAATGGTGACACCTCGGCCCGTATGGAGCATTTCTGTCCCTCCCGGATGAACTGCTGCCACCGCTTGCCATTTCCCCAGCCATCTGCCCCTGGTTACGGTTTCTTCTACCACTCCGCTGTGGTCCACCTGAAACAGAAGGTCTACCAGAGACAGAGACTTGACCCGCCTCTTCTTCTTTGCTTTGGCGATAGGCCAAGTTATCACGTTCCACTCTTGTAGTAGCAGCTACCAAATCCCGGAAGTTTCGAAGTCTTAGAGCCACCAAGGATCTCCTCACAGAGTTCTTGAGGCCCTTCTCAAACTTAAGACATCTCATGTGTTCAGACTCTACCAGAGATGGCGTAAACCGGGATAGGTCATTAAACTTGGCCTCATATTCCCTTATAGACATGTCTCCTTGCAGTAGAGACATAAATTCTAGCGTTTTATCTTCCCTGTAACTCTGAAGGAAGTACTGTTCATTGAACAACGTCTCAAACTGTTCCCAGGTCAACCCTGCGACATCCATTCTCCTCTTGACCTGTTTCCACCAAGTGTTCGCTAAGCCCTCCATCTTGTACACCGCAAACTCCACCCAGTATTCA